AATTACACCGAGAAAGGAGGCAGTAGAATAATTTCTTAAATTATAATTTAAGTGTTTTGCTGGGAGAATAGAGATAGTAATTCAGTAGTAACATCAAATAATCCACTGGCAAACATGTCCTTAATTCAAGCGGAGAACAATGCCGAGTAGTGGTTATTTTATTTTTGTGAAAATATGCCCTTGTCCGCCTACTGTTATCTTCTTGGTTATTTACCTACAGTTTCAGTGAAAATGACTTTTAATTAGGTCTGGTCTATTGGTTTTAATGAGATAGAGATCCTTTGAAAGTTTCAGATTACAGACATCTAAATTTTTTTTAATCGTCATTTACATTTTCACTGTGTTTTTGCTTAATGTTCTTCCCTGAATTTAATCTTGCTTTTAAATTTATTTAAAGACCGGTTAGTAATATTTCAAACTGAAATGTTTGTTACATTCTGGTGTTTAGTGGTTTGTGTTCATCCGTATAAATACCCTGTCAGATAATTTTCAGGCCACGTTTTGCTTTAAACTCTCTCCCTCCAACATAATTTCAAGGTTCAAAAGTAATGGATGGAATGAATATTCGTCACAACGTCTCGTTGACGGCCTCCTCCGGAATAAAATTGGATTGCCGAATGACGAAAAATAAAATTAGAGGGTCTATTTAAGTTTTTAAAACAAAGGAAATGGGTTCGGAGTTTGTTGGTTAAACAAAAAAAAGTAAAATTTGAAATAGCCTGTGGGGGGAAGTTTTAGAAAACTCTTGATAAGTGCACAGTCATTGCCAAGTGAGGACAAATAAAATTAGTATCGATTCGTATCTATTTTTATTTGGGTTATTTTAATGATACTGGGTTGTCTTGTCACACCATTTCTTTTGAATCGTGAGTCTTCGTTCAATTTCAAGCCTTCAAAGAAACATTTCCATTTTGCTTTTATAATCGAGCTTCTACTGATTGAATTGCTTCTCGAATATAATCGCCCACACTTTCTTTGGTATTTATGTTATGAATTTTCAATTTTTTCATTTCAATTCGTGCTAGAATGCCCAGCTAGAGAACTCGTGGGTCAGATAAGTGAACGTATTTCCATTAAATGCACCTTCATTAAGCCCCAGCTCCTTGTCGCTACCTTTCAAACACAATCGCGGGCATTTTTTCTCCCCAGTTTAAATTGCCTTTTTTAATTTTTAAGCGGTTTTTTAAACGTGTGAAAAAATTTCGATTCGCCCGTTCGATCGTGGGACGTATCCAAAACTAGAATAGACATTTATTTGGCAACAAAAGCCGGGTCCATTACGAAGGACGGTCAATTCGTTGAGCTTGGCCCTAGTTCATCAACCCCAATCCCATCTATCCACCTACGTTCCGAAACAAGCGAGATTACAGAATCTACTAGGCATCGTTACGCACTCTAAAATTCTAAATGAAAAAGTAATAAAAGTTCACAAAAACAAAATTTTATTAGTATTTCTGTGAAGTATCGAAAATGAAGTGGCTAGCATGGAAAATGGGTTAGCAACATTGACGCTGTTGTGTTTGGATGGATTAGTATTTTTAGATTTTTGTTGACATTGCTTTCTAGGTCTGCTTACTTTTTTCCGGATCTGCGAATTCGATCGTGTCATACGATCAGAAAGAAAATGGTGAAAGGTGACTTAAAAAATGTGTGACTATTAATCTTCAATTCAATTTCTATTTTTAAGACAAAAAAAAATAAAAATGTCAAGATCAATTGCGTTGCCTCGTAGGAACGTCTAGTAAAGTGATCCTTGTAAAGGAAAAACATTTAAAAAACAGATGCCTGTGTGTCAGCAGTGTGGTTTTCACTGATCCGCCCACATTACATTTTGTCCTTAGAGATCGACTCGGTCATTCTAAAATGCTGTGTGACTATGATTTTACCATGACGACGAAAACTGGCGAATCATTAATTATTAGTTCCAGCAGAATGTAGCTTTAATAGATTATCTCAGTCTTAAAGCAACGTTAAGCAGTTTTCTTGTAAAATGAGGAAATTGATTAAAAATTGCCCCGAATCAATCTAATGTGAGAGAAATCTTACAGGAACTTGGTTTTTTATGTTCATTCTTGAGAATCTTGGACTAACCCTAGTGAAATACTAATACTAACTAGTGAAATATTCTTGTGGAGCTTTACTATTTTCTGTTTAGCTCTACTAGGTTATTGCAGCTTTGACGATCTCAGTTTTGTTAAACGTTTTAATATATACTTCCCATTTGAAAAATACCGTATTTTTGTAACCGCCCGTCCTAGATCCCCCCCCACCTCGTCACAATACAACTTTAAAAAGCTCGCACGCGTTGGCTGCCCATATCCGTAGGCGTTAGTAAATTTCGACCCACTCGTCTTCGTTTCCGATCCGATGTTTAGAAGGTAAGACGCAAAAATGGACCAGATGCACTTTCAGACCAATTTCGTACAAAATTGGACACATTTATTGACGATTCGAATTTTAGAACTAGACTCCCCTCCTAAAATAACCCAATGGATAATATAAACGCAGCTAAAAACAACGATTACACTTCACCCCGTCTCTGCCAACTATTTCGACCGTGTGACGTAACAAAAATCGTTTCGTGATTATGTTTGTTATAAATACGCTCGTTTATCGAGTGGGATGTGGTTTTCATATCGATTTTGGTTCTTTTTGAAGTTCGTCACAGAGGTACAAAATAGCGTAGGCTTAACCTACTAAGACGACAAGCATTGCCTTTTACGACACTTGAGGACCTTTGCAGCTAAGGAATGCAATCGCCTTGTCCTTGGGGGTAATGCGTCATTGATTCATACATTAAAGTGAACTTTCTCCTAGCTCCTAGCCTGGTTTCTGTCTCCCTAACTAAACAAGGCTAAAAGAAACCTAGTTGACACAAACTACAATTTACCACCCCTAAGATAATGCACAATTACATCAAAAAGTTAGCCTTTACACAGAATCAACTAAAAGCTTGATGTAACTATGGTTTCATTGGTCTTAAAGGTAATTCCCATGCAAAATTTATGCTCCAGCTTTCACGTGTACGTTCTTCCAATCGATTTTGTTAATTATGCCAGAAGACCACATCCAATTTTCTTAATTATTTATTTTAAACTATAATTGTGTCTTATAAAGATTAACTGTTTGTCCACGAGTTTTCTGGCCATGACCCAAAGGATTGCGATGTCTGCGTGGCATATCCCAGCAGTGACTCATTTTCCGATTGCGAAAAAGATATTTTTTCTGTTGTAAAACTGATTAGCAAATGGTCACTTCGTGGAAGCCTGGACCCTTCGAAACCTGCGTCTTCCAGTCAAATAACGACGCTTTTCACCTTTGGTATTATTGTCATAATTTTGACTATTCGAAATCTTCCTATTTGGCCTGTCACGCCCTTTGAAGAGGTGGAATCGCAATAATTGAGCTTTTCCTTTTCAGTTTACATAGATTTATTCGGCCTTGTAATATTTTCCTCGGCGACGGTTTTACACCTCGTTTAATTCTGCGTTTTATCAGTATAAAAAAAGGCAGATAGTTGGCTATTACCTTTAAGGCCCGTTGAACAGTCTGAAATATAAGTTGTAGTCTTGAATTTACAAACAAATACTTGCTCTCTTTACACGAACCCTTGGATAAGCGTATCTTACCTTATGAAGTTTCTGTAACAAGTGTTAGATGATCGACCACTTTTTAACAGGGAATAATCTGAATCTTAGTCTAGAAGAAGAAACAGATTCAACAGTTATGCCAAACTTTCGACCACCTATTTTAAGTTGTTCATCAGGGCCAAACAATCTGAAATAAGCTTACACATTGATATAATTAATTTGTTAATAGATTTTTCAAATGTCTTTGAAGACCACAACCCTTGTTCCAGCTTGCCAAGGACTGTAGTACTCAGCGTACTGTAACTCAAACATGTATCCATTAATTGTACTGTTCTTTTTATTTTTACATTGGATACCTATATAAAAAGGTCTTAATATAAATCCCATTTTTATCCCTAAGCTAGTAGCAGCTGTGTCGGATTATTTATGAATAAGGGCTATTTATAATTAATGATACAACCAGTTGATAAATTTTTTTTCAATCAATAGCGGATGCGTAAACAAGAATTGTAATTTTCATTGTGGGGAAATAAATATTTTACAAATTCACTGAAGAATCCTTAAGAAAAAAAAGTGTAGTGGTTAAGTTTTTGGAATGAAGTCACGTCAAGATTGATATTGCTTATTGCTTGTTCCCAAAGTGTGAATTGCACAATGGCACTTCCTTTTTGTAAAAAATTGCCATCCCTTCCTGTCAGATTAGTTTATTCACTTTTGATAAGGATATATTACGATATGACGCATTTTGAGTTTCAATTATCTATTCGTCTTGATGTACGACCTTGTCGAAAGGAAATTGAAAAAGGAGCTTGTCTTGGACTGGCCTCTCCTTATCGTCATAATCATTAGGCCTTTTTTGATTATTTGTTGACATGTGCGTATTTAACTTATGTATCGAAACCCAAGGATGGAAGTTGCCGGTTCTTTATCTTTTATTGAAATATGCGAGTTATCATAATTGTACATAATTCTTTACCCCCTGTTTCAGTTTAACTCAAATTAAAGCCTTTAATTTGGGTTTTTATTATCGCAAACTCTCCTATAAACAAACTCAAATAATCTTGTACCGTTTCACTATGCTTCATATAGAAAAAAAATTATTTACTTAAAAAAAAAACTGTTATATCCACTATGGCATTTCAGTGAATCTTGATGTGGCACTCTTGGCACCGAAGTGTCACTGGTTTAGCGTCATTCCTTAATCCATCCCCTCTTAGCCTATTATTTTTTTCTCCATTCACCTAATATATTATTATTATTAATTTTTAAGGGCGTTTTAACGGCTAAGGTCATTTCACGCCCTAACATCCAAACCTATCTTAGGTTAGCTATATCCCTTCTGAGTGCTATAAAGCTCTGACTTTATTATTATTATTATTCTTAAATATATTTTGCTTTCTTCTTTTGCAGAGGTAGGTATGTCAGCCGACAAAGAGGAGTTGGTCCAGAGGGCGAAACTCGCCGAGCAGGCGGAACGCTACGATGATATGGCTTCTACGATGAAGGCCGTCACCGAAACCGGAGTAGAGCTCTCGAACGAAGAGAGGAACCTCCTATCTGTCGCATACAAGAACGTTGTCGGAGCCCGAAGATCATCCTGGAGAGTCATCTCTTCCATAGAACAAAAGACGGAAGGATCAGAACGCAAACAGCAAATGGCCAGAGAGTACAGAGAGAAGGTCGAAAAAGAACTTAGAGATATCTGTTACGACGTTTTAGTGAGTATTTTACCCCTTTTTATCCTTTATCTCTACAAGCTTAGGTGGGCGTCCATATCGATTTTTTTTTTCTTCTCTCTTTTTCTACCAAAGAGAATGACCTTTTTTCTACCAAAGAATTCTAACAATTTTTAAATATTAAAAAAAAAGCTTTAAATAAATGATAATGCATCTGTAAGTAAAGTTGTAAGCAGAGACCGGATTTTTATGCACCAAGACCAAATCAAAATATACCATAAAATATGCAGTTGAAAACCCTAAAATAGGCATTATTAATACGCTAAAATATGCAATGATATGTAAACAAGTTTTTTTAACTATCATAGTCACTTTAAACAGAAATATGGATAATTAAACGAAATTCCTATTAAACTTAAAAATAATTTAAAGGTTTTTCTTTTCTTTTTACCCGGCTACGAGGTTATTTGAGTGCGGGGTGACGGTGTTTTTGGAAAAAAGCCCATTTGTAAGTATGCCTGGTTCGAATGCGGAGCCGCTGGATTCGAACTCGGGACCTTTACAGTGATGAGCCCTGTGTCAACGCCTACCGTTGCTGCCACCGACGCCCCCTAGAGTTATTTACACTTAACAAAAATATTTTATACTAATTGAGTATAAAAGTACTTCTCTAAATTGCCTTCCGTGAAATTGTGCCTACGGTCATTTAAAATTTGTGAGGATATTGAAATAAGACCTAAAGAAATGGTTTTATACTTCTGTCGGTATTCCTAGAATCTTCTCTTCCCATCGTTGCAGCCTTTTCAGTTTTCTTTGAATTAAACTGATTTTCGTCAACTTATTTTTTTAAATGATATTTTAAATATTTTGAGCCATAATCGCGATTTTAAGTTTAAAAAAATCCTTCAAATAAGCAATTTTAAGCAATTATCAAGAATGCAAAAACATGCTATATACAATTTAACCTACGGATTCCCAGATACAAGATTCGGATAGATAATTGATTACCTCGGTCGTATGTGGTGGCAAACAAAATATGCAACTGCATAAAAATCCAGACTAAGGCATTAGCTATCGAGAAAAATTTTGCACAATTTCGTGAAGTTGAAAATAATGTTTCCTCGAAAATCACTGAAAACACCCTGGTTAGGCCATCCCAAATTAAAAATTTAGTATTGTGTAATATGTTGACATTTATGTGGTTCAATTTTCAGAATTTACACATTTTTATTTTAAATTTTTTTTTTTACATTTTTTTGTGTTAAATCACTTGGTCTTTTTCTCTTGAGAACTTAGTGGACACTCGTTAGCTTTGTTAGACTGTTTTTAGCTAAAAATTGAAGTTATTTTCAACATTAATTACCAACTATTATAACAAAAACTAACTGGTCTCAATAGTAACAGTTAATTTCTATTAGTTTAGTTAGCTTCGAAGCCCTGAAACACAGGTAAATTGCAAATTTATTTAGTTGCAAATTTTTTAATATTTAAACATAAAGAAAATGGTTTAATTATTAGGTTTGAAAGAGTTGAGAATAAGAAATTAAATTAGAACCAAGAAATGGTTTGTATTAGAGCTATATTATTTGCATGGGCAACTTATGAAGATTTATATTTAGGGCGTTACCACACTGTGTCCTTCCTTTTACAACAAAAATAAACTGTGTGGATATATTGCAACAATGATTCAACCATAAAAGGCTTAGCAAGCTGACAGTGGGAATTTTGTAAACTGGGCAATTCATTAACAGACCATATTTTCCCACGACACCGATTGTTCCTTTAAATATATAATTAATTATTCAGCCTAGTAGTAAATCCGACTTGGGGGCTTTTCCCTCAATTTCAACCACCACTTTCCCGTTACAAACGTTCAGGCTGTGAAAATAACCACGATGGTGGAAGCAAATTGGAACTGGAATGATAGTTTTCGAAAACATTTCGTATTCATCCAGAGGCCTGGGACAATGGACGTCGACTTCCTTTTCCCGTGACTTGAATATCTTCCATTCTAGGTATGAAAAACAGAATGGAAGGTGGGACGGGAATGCGATCGGGGCCGAATGCAACCGAGGGGGGCAGCCTGTAATGAGCAGACATAATGCTTTTGCACGTTTTCTCCGACCCAAAATAAAACGCGCACCATTACAGTTGTACACGTGCAGACTTCCCTTAGTTTTCTTTTGGATAAAAGTATCAACGAACATTTTGTTTTATGTACGCCTGATTTTACGATTGGGTGGGGAAGACATATAACTTGGATTCATATGAGATTTCCTTTTGAGATCTGCTGGTTGACAAAGTTAACTTGCTTCCTATCTTTTGGCCTGCTAGATAAAACAGGATAGACCAGAGTATAATGATAGTGAAATAACAAGGTCAATTCTACTTACACGTTAAACTGCCCAAAACACATTTCTTCAAAATTTGCTTGGGATTTTTCCCTGTTGCCTCACCTGCACGCCCTGGTCAGTCATACACCTATAATCAAATCTCACACCACATCAGAATTTCCTTAAATATAGTTCGCGGCCCCTTTAATTTTTATGGTTCCCCTACTCAGTTATGAATTATTTAGCCTAAGTATACCAACACAACAGAAGTATTAAAGTACTAATTGGAAATCCTTTGAACCTGCCTGACTCAACGATAAAGTTCACTTCAACTTCACAGCCATAATTGGAATTTGTTCGAATGAGCCAGTATTTAGGTGTGCCATTCTCTTCTGTTTCTCTTGGTTTTAAAGCCAGCCTTCCTGAACGATTCTTAACGAACTGCACTATCTAAATCCCAATAAGTCATGGATAATTATAAATTGTCTGAAAATAAACCTTTATTATAAGAAAAATTACGCAATTAAATCTGTATTTCCTCAACTTGAGTCTTAGATAAGTTCTTGTCTATTTGACTCAACGATAAAGTTACAGGTAGTTGTTTTTTTTTTTTTTTAAGTTTTTATTTTTATTTAGAGCTATCAGGCAACAGCTACTAGGATTAAATTGCACGATTTAAAAAAAAAATTCCGGGGGGAAAATGGATTTTTTTCGCCTTAGCGATAATATTTTAAGATTTTACGGTCATAATTAAAATCAAATTGCACGATAGAATGAGATTTACAGTTTTGTTACATTATTTATTTTTTAAAAAGTTATAATGAACGTTAATTTTGTTGTTGGTTTTCATTCACAAAGGCCTTTCCAATTGGCTCGCAATTACATTCATGCATATATTTTCATTAGTAAAAAAAAAGTAGAAAAACTTTTCAGTGCTAAGCATGATGTCTAGTGACATGTAAGGAATAATTATGAAAATAACAACGATATTAAAATTAAAGATACTTGACTTCATATTGAATCCAATTTCGAAGGAGTGTCATGGCTAGGAAATATGTATATATATTTTTCTTATTTTTTATTTTTTTTAAATATGGTAATTTTTACATGATAAATTAACTTCGTTCGTGCTTTAGTGTGACGTACTCACATTATACATTCGAGGCCCTCCCCTTCCCGGATCGTCAAAAGCGTCTATAAAGAAATAAAAAGCGGCTGTTGAATTGTTGTAACATTGAACTTGTCCTTAATTAATTCTTGAATTGATTCCTAATAAATCCCCGGGCGATTTTTTTTATGTTATCTATTGCCACAATGCGTCGCAGCTCCCGGCTCTTGTCGTGGTAACGAGCGATTTCCGGAATGTAAAGAATTTCTGACCCCTTTTTTAGCTTGAACGTTTTTGAAATTTTTCCAGCATCGTCCCAGATGAGTTAAGATCAAACAGTAACAGTCTGATCTCCCCATCGATTATAAATTCTTGATACAACCTTTAGAAACTATGCAAACATCCTCAATTCTGTCTTAGATATTACCATTTCCTCTTAACGTTATATTTTTATATACTTAAGTGTTAATTTTAAACAATTAGTTTATTAAATCTGATTAAATTTGTGTTAATAATTTATAAATTAATAAATGAATAACTAGAATGCAAAATGGAGACACTGTTGTTGCATTTGTAAATACGTTCAAACATGTTATTCATGTATCTTGCACCTTTAATGGTAATATCGTGTGCATGTGTTGTGAGTAAAGTTCATTTTGAAATAAATAATGGAAAAGATCACAAGTGAACTATTTTCCCCCCGTCGGGTTTGTAAAGTTTGCCACTTGTTTTATTTTGAATACTATTTTACGAGTACCTTATTTGTCTTTGTTAGCTGTTGAAACGCTGTGATTTATCTTCTTCAGCGCCAGCTTTATCAGTCCTCTTCTAGGAAATATCTCAGAAACATGGCCCAAATTTAAAACTGAATGTCGAAATAACATAGCAGTAATATTTTCATTAACCCACTCAAGTTTTATAATTGGCCTCCTTCCCCAGACCACTTTTTTAATTGTCTGGAGTGTCAATTGGCCCTCTCTTACAAGCAAGCCTAGTACCATTGTCCTGTTGTTAGGAGGAATATTCCGCATCATGTGCTTGTAGTTGTGTTTCTGCACGGGCATAATACCCTCCCGGGTTATTTTCATATCTTTTATTTGCTCGCAATTTGGTTACAAGGAGAGGGGAAAATTAAAAAAGTAGAACATTTTGTAGAAGTGGTCTATTGACGCGCCACGCCCTTGCCGTACAGCAGGAAGCCTGCATACAATGGCCTACAGGAAGAGGAGGTACCGCTGAATAGGGAGAAGCCTATACTCGTGCACCTAGGGTTTATCTCTGTACGGCCAGTTTCCATTTCATGCGTTATGTAGGTCAAACAAGTGTCCCGGTGCCGCTCATAAAATATGTTTCAGTTTCAGCCTTCACCCGATAAGGGAAAAACCCTTCGGAGTAGGACAACTGTATTGTCCAATGAATCTTTTTTATACAGTAAAATACGTTTTGTGAAGGTGATAATACACACCAACGTTCGTGTTAACTTGTAGTAAAAAAATCTAACCTAACTGTGGAAAAGTATTTCATTTGAGAGAATAATTTCTATTGAAATAAATAATGATAATTCTAAATAAATAACAAGTATATAAAATGTCTCAAATGAAACTAAATCTTTTCTTTCCCACAGCGAAAAATAAAGTCCCAGAAAGCTGCTTTAATTCAGGGATAGACAGGACACATTTACCACGTTCTATAAAAATTTCTAGCTTCAATATCGGATAAAATTTCAAAAAGTACGCAAATGTTAACGAAATATCCGAAAAGCTATACAATTTAAAAAACCAATGACCTAACAGAAATTTCACTCGTTTCAGGAATTTGGTGCAAATTAAAGTTGATTTCTTGTTAAAATAAATTAAATATAATAGTTATCATTAAATTAAATAGTTACTTGCACAGAGTTCTGCTTAATTCGATTTGCTTCAAAATTCAGTTTATTGTAGGGACAAATTTTTTATGGTTGTTTGTAATAAAGGTGTTAATTTCTACTATTTTTTACTTACTTTGGTCGATTATCAAATAAAAAGAAACAAATAGACGTCAAATTAATCAAGACCAACCTACCATTGTCTTGCCGCAGAAAAAGTAATTATTTTTTATTTTTTGAAAATGAAATAAAAAATTGTGTAATTTCACGAACTGAAATGCATTAAATAAAAGGGGGATGAGTCAGTAGTGAAACGAAGGAGCACCGGCCCTTAAATAACAAGGCATGCGGCTTTTTTCCCCACCTCTTATCCTGTCGCAGCATTCTGCTTCGCACTTTCTTCCTTTTATTATTAACACTCGACCTGGTTTCCTCGAGGAAAATTTTCGACCTGTTCCATCCATCGGTGGAAATCGGTTTTAAAGCTTTCTAACACACCCCGTGGGAGATGATGTTAATCAAGCCCCGGCCAGATGGAAAAATGGGCCAGCCGATGAAAGTCCCGGCCGAAGCTGAGGTGACTGCTCCATGGCTTCTTCGACCGGGAAGGGAGGGTCACTCAGGAATGTCGTATATGGATTGCACTTTTCTACCAACCGGTTTTTATTCTAGGAGTGAGTTAATAGACTGCTCATTCAGTCGTTCTTCGATCCCCACAATAAAGAATTGCTAAGAGCTAGCAATTTTTTTTACTATAACTTATTTGATTACAACTGGCAACTTGAGCCATCTTATAAAATTCATGTAATCAGTCAGGATTACACTTCGGTCCCATCTTTCATTCTTGGTCGTTTATGTAGACTTTGCGACCTTCATTAAGTGGAAAATGCCATAACAGCTGCAAAGCAAACTTGGAGGAAACCCAGAATTTCTAGCCATCCCGTGAAGTTTCAATAAAACCGAAAATGATAACAGACTTGCGCTTTCGTAAAATCGAATCCATCAACTTAAATAAATATTGACGATAAGATGAATTATGTATTATGAAATATGAATTACACTTGTGGTTAGTCTAATGAAAAAATTTACTTTGCAATCTAATCGCATTTCCACAACGACGAAGTATATTATTGTACTTTAAGATATCTTACAGTTCCATTCCATTATTCCATCTTCAGAAGAATCGAGAAACTTTTAAATATACAAATTTTCATTTTTTGTCGTAAGCAATTTTATTTAATTGAAAAGTATATTTGGCAAAATGCTGCAAAAAAAACATGCGGCATTATACCTTTGGAGTAACTTAAAGCTTAAGTTATAGGTTTACGATAACTTAAGCTTTAAGTTATAGGAAGTTAGAAATATAAGCTTTAAGTTATAGGAAGTTAGAAATATTTAATATTTTCAAATTGTTATTTGACGCAGAAAAATAAAACTGAATTTATTTATTTATTGAAACAAAGGCAGTTTATTGAGGAAAAATCGATTTGCGACTAATTTACATTGTTTGACTATAATTACATTGTTTATTGTAAGACATTTTACGTCGCCGTTGATGGATTTTTATTATGATTCTCAGTTGAAAGAAAGGAGGTCAAATTTTAACGTTGCTACTTCAGGGGGGGGGGGTGCCCTGTTTGTCGAATAGATCCACAGGTGGTTTTTGGTCAGCCGATGTCAGACCTTTGTTGGGCGAGACCTTAGAAGTTTCAACCATGAGCCTTCGGTACGTCGGGTCTGCGTACTGGTATAACAGGTTAGGTACGGTCGGTCTATCGGAAGCGTCTTCGGAGGGATGACAGGAAGAAGGGTTGTTCGGGCCCTGAGTTGACGAGTCCTCGCCCATCCCCTCTCGGCCGGGCTAGAACTACGAGGAAAGCAATCAATGAGTCGATACTGCCCCGGGAGAAGGGCTGCGCCCCACCCAACGACGTCATTTTCTGCACCTCTGCGCAAGCCCCTCTCCATAGCCCGGCGGCTTTAGGCTCATTTCAGCTACTCCAACCCCCCGACCCTTCCCTCTTGACCGGTCTCATCCTACCCTCGATTTAAAAATTATAGACGTATTCAAAGGGGAAATATTTTCTTTTATCTCTCATCTGTGGTACACAAAACATCCTATTTACGTTGTTTTTCTACGTGACCTTAGTAGTACAAAATTACGCAAAATACTACGCCATATGACTACAACTATGCCTTCCCAAACCGAGAAATACAAATAAATATGCTCCCGTTTTAGAGTAATAAACGTTTTAAGTTTCTTATTATTGATCAGAAACTGAAACAATTTCGTCTTTATTCAGTTTTAAAACAAAATACTTTTTTCCGTATTTTTAATCTCAATTGAGCTAGTACACATTATAGTTGTGCAACCCGATGGCCTTCCTTGCTTAAAATCAGATTATTAATAAATTTGGTAACAATAGCTTGCAAGAAGAATTTTTTAATAGTAATAACTAATAATTAACTTAAACTAATAATTAGTTTAAGATGGATTGGAGTATTTATTTTCATTTGTGATGTGGCATAGGTTGGCTCTGGGTAATTTCTTGCATCTGTAGGTGGGGTGCTTCGTGATGAACCACTGGTGTTGACTGTAGGTGCACCAACATTCCCATGTTAACATTAGAGATGGCCAAGTCATTGTGGGTAGTTTGGTGCCGAACATTTCATGGTGCAATGTTATTAATCGGAGGATACGGGTCTGAGTTTGTGAATCAGATGCCAATGACAATTTGGCGCAACCAATATTATCAGAATAGAGAATTCAAAGAAAAATTAAATTTACATGAACTGTTTGTCAAGTTATTTTTTATAGCATTAACATGTTCATTACAGCACTGATTTGTAAAGACTCTCCCGAAGTGAGATGCGGTCGGATGGTGGTATTGATAACATACATATATCATTACATTACATTCTACACATCAAATATTTTTCACATAGTCTAATTGTCCAACAATTTTGCTTTACTTTTCCTATTTATCCCTCTCTATATAATCCTGAAAGGATAATCTGGCCGAACCATTACCAACACAACATTGTATCTCTTCGTCGGCTCTTTTCTATACCAACTTCCTTCCCCACTCCTTCCAACATATATAAACATAAAACAGCAAAATCTCACTGGCACTCTCAACACGACACGCAAGAATGGCACAATTACACAGAAGACAAACACTTTTGAGTGAGTAGAAATACTTTGATTGAATATAAAAAATATATTTTGCATTGTATAAATTCCCATTTTCCACATCCTAAATGTATTTGTTAAATGTAAACAATGTTTGTAAATCCCAGGCCCTGAAGATGATCTCAATAAAAATCGAAACGTTGGCACGATAAAGAAAATGTTTTTCTGAAACCTACATCACATCAGACCACATCTCACGATTTCTGAATAATTTTGGCGAATGTTTTGATTAAATAAAATTTAATTTAAAAAAAAATTACCAAATGTTAAATCAGAAAACTGTCTTCACTGTTATGTTTCAAAGCGAAGTAAAGGCCTATGACACCAATTTGATTCCAAAAATAGCCCCAACAACCTTTCAAAACAAAGGTTTTCTAGAAGGGGTAATGTCGTTAAAGAACGACCACCATAGCAAATCGTTCAATTGGAATTGATATGTTGGCACCTTTTAAGTGTAGCCTGCAAAGTTTTGTGCAGTGTTGCTGGATACTTATTTTTCCTAAATCTTAATTGGTATTTGTTTTACATCTTACGTCCTATAAAAATTTATGCTGTATACTCAGCATCAATTTTTGTGCATTTGCAGGAATTTCAGTGAGTGTGGACGAGACAACCACAAGAATTTATCCTACATTCAACGACAGTTTGCTACGAACAAGATTTGCACCACTTAAAGGCTCTCAATGTGGACAATTCTGCCGCACAAAGCAAAGCATATTATTATAGCTGTTGTTCCAGAATGGCATAAATCTTGCAATGCACTCCTTTAAAAATAACATTTTCATAGTGGTACAAATCATTGTCGTAATGTCACGATTCCTTCCAAGAATCTAAAGTTATAGAATTAGGAAATCAAAGCTTCATTTATTTATTTTTAAGTGCAAATCATAAGTGAAACAAAGCGAAAACTAGTATTTTGTTGTATCACACACACACACACGGATTGGATGAGTGGTTGAGAACTTTCAAAATGAATGGGAGAGGCGGCCACTGCAGTTACTGTGTTAAAATAAAACTTATATGTCCTATACTGTACAAGTGAGAAAAATAGTTGCATACCATCAACAGAAGTGAATCAGCAGCAGCATAAAGAATAAATGACAATTCAATAGAAATACTTTTAGATTTAATAAAATAATTGGTGGATATAAATATTTGCTAATAAACTTACAATTTGGATCCATTGTTAATTTGGTTTGTTAATAAAGTTGGACAATAATAACCAAAATTGATGATTCAGTGATGGGGCTCCCACCTTGGTCATTAAAGTAAATTTATAATTAACATTGACGTTGTAATAGCTTGAATATTTCTTATATGTAAATTTTACTTAAATTTCCAGGCGTTATTAGACAGGTTCCTTATCCCCAAGGCTAGCAATGCTGAAAGTAAAGTATTTTACTTGAAAATGAAAGGTGACTACTACAGGTACCTTGCTGAGGTTGCTACCGGAGATACACGGAACGGTATGTATTACTTTTGATTATTTAAAACAGAAATGCTTTAATATAGTTGTTTCGAACTCTTTAGCAAGAGTTCTGTTAAACTCTTAGAAACAATGTCTGACATAAAAGATTTTTTTAGCTGTTGTTGAAGATTCACAAAAAGCATATCAAGATGCTTTTGAAATCAGCAAGTCAAAGATGCAGCCTACACATCCAATTAGGCTAGGACTTGCGCTGAATTTTTCAGTCTTCTACTACGAAATCCTCAATTCGCCAGACAAAGCTTGTCATCTTGCCAAACAGGTTTGTCCATATATAATAAGAAACTCAGGAAGAGAAGGAAAAACAACAGTTTGGGAAGATAGAGCGCCAAAAATAAATTCAAACCAAGACCGAAACAAAGGGGAAGCCTTTTATTTTCGCGATTTTCACTTATCTTTCTTTTTTCATTGCAGCTGTGGTAGACGACTCACAAAAGGCATACCAAGAAGCTTTTGATATTGCCAAGTCGAAAATGCAACCTACCCATCCTATTCGTCTCGGCCTTGCACTTAACTTCTCAGTATTCTATTATGAAATCATCAATTCCCAAGGCCGTGCCTGCCACCTGGCTAAACAGGTAACAACATGAGCGGAAAGATAGTTCACCATTGAGGTTGAGTTTTCAAGACATGATGGTTGCGTACATTTATCAAAACTCGCTGAACGAAGGAGATAGTAACTAACTTGTGTGGATATCTTGAGTTGTTGTTTTTTTTAGTTTGGTGGAGTACTAATCTATGCTCATGTTGTTTTTTCCAGTGAGTGCACTTTTGGTGTAAATCTAACCCAAACTGTTGAAATTTTCTGTTCATTTTTAAATTAATTCATTAAGTTTGTCCAATAGATAGTTTTATTGTACAATTAGTTCACAGTAAGACAAATTTCATTATATTCTTCCATTTGACAGGCATTTGATGACGCGATAGCAGAGCTGGATACGCTGAATGAAGACAGCTACAAAGACTCCACACTGATCATGCAGCTGCTGAGAGACAACCTGACTTTGTGGACGTCCGACACACATGGAGATGGAGATGAGCCACAAGAGGGAGGCGATAATTAAACCACCAAAACAACTCCTCCCTTTCTACATCCCCTCGACACCTTTTTATCCTCAGCCTTTCCATAAAAAAAAATAATATTAAAATAAAAAGCCATAAGTACCACAAATCATTACCCTCATTTGACCCATTATTCTCCACTTCTCCCAATTTTCCTTATGCCCCCTCCTAAAAATAAAAAAAAATCCCACTTTATACTCTATTACCCTAAATTGTAAAAAAAAAAAAAAAAAATTGTACTCACCGCATTCACTTTTGCAAAAGCGACGTATATAAACCTATGCCAAGCAGCACAATCCCTCAGTTTGTTTCAATGTATATACTATATATATATATATAAAACTAAATTTTGCTGGCCTTTCATCTTTTGTTCAGTTTGCATTCTTTTCTTTTTTTAAATTATATACTTATTAAATTATTTCGTAATGTTTCCTCCACTTTTTATTTTTGTTTTTTCTTCTTTTTTTTATTTTATATAATATATATATATAAACAAAAAATAAAATGTTTAGGGTTAAAACAAAAACTTATTTTTTGTGCTAGTACGTTTTGCTTGATTTTTTTTATTTTATTTTTTTTTTGTTCCAGTGCCAAAAATGCTTTACAAATGTTTTCAGGCATAGTTTTTGTACGTTGACAATTAAAAGTTAATACAAAAAAATTATAAAAGTGACAAGAAAGTTGAAAACCTGTTTAATGCAACTTTATAATTAAGTCGACTCTCGTGTGATTGGAGCATACATGTCACATTTGCGGCAACGCCAAACATATTTCCTTTGCCTAATAATATGATGACCATTGTGGTTTGTAACTGTAAAATGGAAGTGGTTGTGTTAAGGAAATAGTCAAGAGTGGAACTTATTGATCAGGGTGTCTTTGTCCGTAGTTCTGTGAATGTGTACTGTGTCCAATGTCTCATCATAATTGAATAACCTGTTTGAATGGACTGAGATTTTATTTGTCACATTTCATTACAATTTAGGAGGTGAGAGAGCTAAACCATTTTCATTATAAAAATAATCATTTCAACATTTTTAAGAGAAAAAGAATTGAATGATAATTAATACAAAAACTATACTAGTAACATCATTTTTATTATATAATGAATCATGTATTAATTGTAATTATTTGTTTTTCAATTTGTTAAGTCACTTTTTATAGCATAATTCCAGATAAAATTATTTTCCGCTTTCACCATTGCTGTACTGTTAATTATTGTGATCTGTTAGATTTTTCTCTGGAAATTGTGTAAGGTTTTTTATTACAGCAGCATTTTTTTGCTGTCAATAAAAATTATGTTATTAAAAAATCATCCCTTTTTCATTGTAGACATTAAATCTACTTACTTTTAAGACTTGGCTATGGTAGATCAGTCCTGGGAGCAAATATAACAGGATAATGAAGTGTATGTGTCGATGTGCCCTTTACAAAAAGATATTTATAAAAGAAAAATGCACATTTTCTCCCCCTTTGACTTTTAAAAAAAATGTCATATTAGCTGTATATTTGTCATATTGTGTCAATGGCAGGTGTCTTAAATTTTTTCAAAAAGATATTTAAACGATGTATTAAGTGGTTTCTTAACTGACTGTGAAGGTCACTGTTGTCTCTCCCTCGACTTTTCCTATCCGATGGAACTTTCTAAGGTTTATATTTGTCCGTTAGAAACTTAGTTTAATGCCTGTAGAGCCACATTAAAAATTGTAGTGAAGCTTAGTGTGAAAGCCACATTGCTCAAATGAAAGAATTAGAGCGCTCATTTTGGGAAAAGTTATAATGGAACAAAATACATTTTAGAAAGTTCTGTGTTCATGTCAAATATTTATATAGATACATATAAATATTAATAAATAAAAAGGGGTTATATTTTATTTCAATATTGTCCACATGAAGGAAAAAGAAAACAGGAAACTAGTTTTTAAACAATTTCTGATATGTATGAAAAATAAAAAGACTACTTGGAAGTTTTCATGATTCTTGGCTAAAGATTTTACAAAAATTGAAAACCAATTATGAATTACTTTTTACATGATGATCACGTTTTGTTGATAGCAGATTTTAGCTTGTAATTATTTTATTACTTTACATACTAAACAAGAAAGAACATTTGTGGAAAGGAATTAGTACTCGCCATTTTTTTAATTTAGTTATTTGTTATGGATAATATGCAATAAATCAGTCAACTAACAAAAAAAGTACTGTGGTGCTAGATATTAATATGCGAACTTCCATTTGAAGCTTTTATAGAGATAATAGTCAATAATCGGTGGAAAGATCAATTTTTTACTGGGTAATGTGAAATGCTCTGAAACAGAATTGTTAATTAAGGTGCTTTTATAGTTCATGAGCTTTGTTCTATTGGGATTGGAGTTCAAGTAAAAAGTCTACGTGTAAATTGGCAGAAATTTTAAATTTACAAGACCAATCCTAGTTTCAGTTGTTATAAATACATACAATAAAATGGTGAGAGTAATTGAATTGATATTTCAAATTTCACTAATGAATTTGCTGCTCCACCATAGAAGTTACACTTAACAAAACTATGCTGAGAAACTACAGCAAGGTAAGTTAATAGTTTTTTCCTTGTTATAACTTTCTCTGTGGAAGATGCCATATTGTTGGCACTGGAACAAACTAATCCTGTATACTTATGGTATTAAGGTTGGAATTTGCACAAAATTAAAATTTAAAGAAAAAATGTATTGAAACTGACAACTGAAGTTAGTTTTAAAATTATAACTGCTAAAAAATAAAACTAATTTCATTTTTATTCAGTTAGTATTTGTATTCACGTTTTTTTTTAATGTGTTATGCCTATTTATTTAGTGTATAACATTACAAATGAAAAGCAGCTGCTAAAATTAAGTTTTTACTGTTAGGCAGTGGCATTCTGGTTGATTAATTTTGTGGTTTTTCCTATTGGGTTTGCCAACCATTTGCTGCAAATTTTAATAGATTACAAGATTAAGCAATTTCTTAGTTTGTTAAAGAATAATCAATCTTGGAATTGTGATAAAATTTGCACTTTTTTTGCTCCAACTTTTATTAATCAAAATTTGTTTATTGCCAACGCTGTTTTTTCAATAACCATATTATATACATAAAAAAAGTAATTTAAAAGAAATTAAATCTAAATCTTACATTACTTTTAAACGGCTACCTGTCAACAAATTAGTTAGAAAAATCCCTTGGAGTTAAATCTTTAAAACAAATGTTTAAATTATATATATGAACGCCAATCTAAATTATGGCGGCTGAACCGTTCTTTCGGATTTTCATTCTTGATGTCTTCAATGGGAGCCCTGACAGCAAATTTATTCAGAAAATGGTCAAAAGTAGAAATTATTAATCATGAGGACAATAAATAAATAATTAAAATATGAATGGTGGAAAGGCCAGAGCAGGATTCAATCTAAGTCTGAAATTATCTGTTGGCCATATTGTCTCTCTGACTTGCAGTTACAGAACTTTTCTCTACAAAAAAAAACATTACTTTTCAGAACTAAAATTGTATTATTGTGTATTATATTTTTTACAGAACCACAAATCAATTTGGAGTTAAAGGAACTCATAATTTATTGTCCAAATTTTAAGAATAATATATAGAATAAACAACAGTACAATGGCATTTGCCTCTTTTTCTGCCAAAAGGATAGATTTACCAATTCATATCGGATTTACTGCCATGTGAAGTTTCGCCATTCAGTCAATTATATTTTATAGACAGCTGTGGATGAATGTTCAGGAATAAAAAACTAAACTGCATAGTTTTGACAGCCCTTGGTGGCATTTTGACTAAAAACCCTTTTGCTGAACTATAGTGGACTGCAGCTGAAACAATGCAGCAAAACTTTTAATTTGAACTTGCATTTTGTTGTCTACTGATAATTGTACATAGATTTAATAAACCCACAGCTGAAGAAATAGCTTGCTCTTAAATTTTTCAGAAGGAGAACAGCCAAGTCCAACGCATCGTTGTGCAATATTGTCAATCACATTGAAATTACATCTCTAGGACGCAATAAAAATAATAAATTTGTAACATTTCTTAAAATTCATTATCAATTTTGAAATTGTTTCTAGACAAGCTGTACCGTATAAAACTCATAAAATAATATATACCTATTACTTCTCAAATTACAACTATGTTGAACATAAGCTTTAGTCTTTACTCTCATACTTTATGTTTATGTGTCATTATTAAGAACAATAGCGATGAAAATTTCATAACAATAGAAGCTAATAAATCTTGCATTTTATATTACTTTTGAAATTAAACTTATAAAACAATTTGAACTAAACATGAATGATAAAGTTCGAGAAATTAATTTTCAATATAAAACAAATAAGTAATTTTACTATCCATACATTATTAACAGCATATCATATATATTTCACATGTAAATAAGATTCACTGGTGTAAACTAAATTTGTTGTAAAAAAATAAACTATTTTCTATATATTCTATATTCTGTACATTATTATATATTGTTTCTAAATTTAGCTACAAGACCAAAAATTAAACTTAAAAAATTGCTATTAATTGAGGCCAAAAAATAAGTCCTGAGATTTTCTCCTGAGGCCATCAGACAGACAATCTTCGTCAATGTAATCAGCTGGGTTGGACTGTTAGAAGTGTTTCGCCAATTTGTCATCTTCTGTAGGCCTCTTCCAAATGCATCTGACTAGCCCAGCAAGGAATAGGCAGACCAAGATGATTGGTGAGAAACAAATTACAAACAATATATACTACCACTTTATAAAGTCAACAATAAACTGTATAAAACATCATAAACTAGCTTAAGGGAAATTCTAAAAATTAATTGTACTCAAATACAAGAAAAAATTATTAAGATTTAACTAACAATTTTGTTGTACCACTAAATGATTTTCTGGATTTTAGGTGAATTTTCTTTCAAACCATCATAAGTAAATAATTTGTATTAATAGGCATGAACTTTTGATCTTATTTAATTCTGTTAATGTTAACATAAGTATGTTGTAATGAACATAATGATAAAAATACATATAGTTAAATAAACAAAAAAATACGAGTGTCTGGTATTTTTGCCTTTGAGTGTACATTGAAATTACTAATAAATTATTGTAGATTACTACATATGAAATGAAATATTATTTTTGAAATTATAGTTATAAAGCTTATATAACTACTAAAGCCTAGTGAAATTATACACTATTCTTCAAAGCTTTAAGGCATGCTATAAAGTTATAAAAATAAAATAAGTTACATACATCTTACTTTTGTTATAACTGGTATTATGAAAATGCAAATAAATTAATAACACATTGTAAAACGTTAAATGTAAATATCAGCTTCACCCTATTAATTGTATGATTGAATGTTTCTTTTTTACTCCTTTATTATTCATAATTTAAAATAATTGTTCAAATAGTAATTAAAGTGATAGTTTTAACCCGATTTTAAAATAATGTTAATAGCATAAAATTAATTTTATTCCATTACTGAATCATTGAGCACTGACACAACTTTTTTATTTAATATTTTTCTTATGATTTTTTAATTTTAGTATTTCAACCATAGCTTTTCAAACAAATTATTAAAGCAGTTTAAAATTAATTATTTCTGCTAATAAAAAATTAACTTACTTAATAATTGAGTAGTGTAGTGTAAGATAAATTTTTGCTAAGTTTTAACTTAATTTCAGTATTATCAAGTATGTGCAAATATTTTATGTGAAATATATGTGATAGTTTAAAATAGTTCCTCTAATGAAAATTGTTTTAAACATAAAATAATAATGAATCATGAAAACACACCCAATTAAATTTAAGATAGAAAAAGTTTATGATTGTCTAAGCAGTGCTGTGCTGATGACTGACAACATTCCCTCAGCATTTAAGAAAACTGTAGGAGGATTACCAAATATGTAGTTGCTGCAGCAACAATCTGTCAAAACATTTATTTCTGTAAATTTAACATTTTATCCTGGTTTGATTCAATATCGTTATGAATTATGAGAACGATAAGCAACAATGTTATCAAGAGTAATATTAAAAATAAATCCTTATGCGTAAATAAAATGGAGAAACGTTTGTTACTTTCAACACTAACCGAAGTCACAAGTGGATATCCTAGTGTGAAGAAACCATTGGCAGTGAAGTTAACTGTTTGCTTCATCGTAACGTACAGTTGTAACTTTTCCTGTTAAGCAATACTTTTTATCATTAGTCATAAATAACATTTTGTTTTAAACCTCACATTTTGACAAAGTTCTTTGCTTTTCTTCATCAATCTGAAGAGTACATCGTTAAATTTTTCTATCTGAAATATAGTGTGTACACTTGATATAAATAACATAATTAAGTATTTAAAATATTTATGCATGCTTAATTTAAAATATTATAAATTTATTGAATCTGAATTATTAATTCTCCTAGAATAATAAACCAATTAAAGCGAGCTAAATGTAATAGGTGAAATAGTTAACAGAAGCAGAATTAAATTTGATGTAATTTATCTTTCAGTGAAAAAAATTAATTGCAAAGTTGTTAAATATTGTATTAGAAAAATTCACAAAACGTGTTCATGATAACAATAAAAATAAAATGTCCATGGCATGGATTCCACTTAAATTTAACTTCATCTCTTCATACATTTTATCTTCTTGTTGTTGTATGAAATAAATATAAGTGTCTCCCATTCATCATTATTGATCGATGGCACAAAATGGTGAGTTAATTGGATTGGATGTTTATGATTGTCGATTTCACGTGGACGATGACAAATGTCTTTATTTTGTCTATTAAATTGAGGGGAATTTGATTCTAAAATATTAACTGATTTTTTTAAAATTATTCAAGTTTTAATTAACCAATCTAAACTTGTTATTAACACATGACAAATTTACATAGATGTTGAATAATATTTTTGAAAAAAGAAATTTTTTTTCATTAATTTAAACGTTTAAATGTAGTCTTGGTAATAAAAATTATTTCTAAGGAGACTAAAATGATTGTATTTTGAATTCTTGTTATTCCAACTTTTTCAATGAGAGGCTTATTTTCTAAAGTTTGAACATGCCTACTACTAGAATTTTTACTTTACAGCAATGATTTAACTAATTAAATTTAATTTAAACTTTAATTACATCTGTGGCTTCATGAACATTGTTTTATTGTTTCTTTAATTTATTATATTTAAATTATTTATTATTNAGTTAAATAATATTTAATTTATTATAAAAATAGGTTAGTCTGTCTTACACCAAATCTTATTATTAATAAATATAAATGAAGTCTAATCTTACCTTTTCTTTTGTGTTGTGGCAACTCCTACAAATGAAATAAATTAAAATTAAACTTTTGAAACTCAATGAGACCATGGCTGGAAAATTTCCAGTGCCTTTAAAAATATAATACATTCCATGTATGTAGTTGTACGACATATATAAAATAATAACAAGATTCTTTGTTGAATATATGTTACCAGCCAGACTGGCATATCTGGCCAGCTCGGTGACTCTGAGCACCAAGATGTGTTTGTCAATGTGAACTAATTTGAGCATATTTGTTGTCCGGTTTAGATTTTCAGAAATTATTTCTAGGTAAGCGCAAAATTGCAAAACGATCAAAAGAAGAGTAAGGCTTTGTATAAATTCAGCTATTGCTGTGAATATATATATTGTACTTGTTCTCCTTGTTATTATGTGAGATGTATAAAAAGCAATTTCACCCACAATTCCAATTAAAACTGAATGCATACAATTGAATACTGTTTTCTGAGGGTTATACATTTTTTTAATATTTTTGAGCAAGATATTGTATTTTTTCTTCTTATGGTAAAAATTGATCTGATGCAGTATGATGGGTATTATTCTCATTACTCTTGGAATCGTAAGCAACAGCTTGTCCATCCCACTCCATGTAGGCCAAACATTTTTAAAATAGAGTGAGACAAAGCAGATGATCAATATCATACAAAATACCGTAACCACAGTAGAATAGATAATCGCATAAGCTGTTATTTCAAAATTGACGTTACACGGCAGAACGCCCATGATTCTGCTCAATGGAAACAATATCCCTGAACTTTTCAAAATACATGGATTACGTTTCATGATTGTGTTGAGTGAAGCATCTAGAAAACTGATTGGACATGTAGTACATAAAGAAAGTGATTTGAACAAATGACAAACGGGAGGCCAATTCAGACACGATATGGCTTGTTAAATTTCTAAAAATATGATGTTTCTAATGATAAAATCAATAAAATCAAATTAAAAATAAATATTTTAATGTATTACAACCACACACAAACAAAATCTTGCACTTTTTTATATGTACATTAATTTTTAACATTTGCAATTGTAAGAACAAGATGCCAAATTATTGCCAAATATTTACTATTATATTAATATTATTAAAGTAATTATTAATCTGTTTATATCACATTTTCCTGTTATTGTGATATACTGAAATACAATTGCTGTTCAGAGACAGTCCTTAACAGTTAACAGGAGCCAATAACAAAAATAATTACATTTTTAACACATTAAATAACATGAGAATGTAGTATAATTAATACAAAGTCGTGGTTTTGAGTCCTGCTCATGACATTAATTTCTCAACTCAACATAGTTTGCATAAAATTAGAGTAATTATTTTGATTAATTGGACCAACAAAAACATAAACTACATAGATTAATACTAGTATCACAGATCCACAGTCCAAAAGTACGCTGGTGTTCGCTTCTGTTGAGTCAATGTCTATGTAGTTTATTTTTTTTAATTACAGCGAATTTTGACCCAAATTTGCAAAAGATGAATTTACTTTGCAAAAGGGTAAAATTGATTTGCAAAAGAGTGAATTTAGTTTGCACAATAGTTGATTTAATTGCAAAAGGGTTAATTTAATTAGCAAAAGAGTGAATTTAATTTGCAATAGGGTTTATTTAATTTGCACAAGAGAATTGAGTTTGTAAAAGGGTAAAATTGATTTGCAAAAAAGGAAATTTAATTAGTGAAAGAATCAATTTAATTTGGAAAAAGGTGAATTAATTTACAAAAGAGTGAGTTGTATTTGTAAAAGGGTGAAATTGATTTGGAAAAGAGTGAATTTAGTTTGCACAAGGGTTGATTTTATTGACAAAAGGGCGAATTTATTTAGCAAAAGTTGCAAATTTTATTTGCAAAACAGAATTGAGTTTGAAAAAAGGGTAAAATTGATTTGCAAAAAGTGAATTTAGTTTACACAAGAGTTGTTTTTATTGGTAAAGGGGTGAATTTAACTAGCAAAAAGGGTAGATTTATTGTGCAAAAGGGTGAATTTAATTTGCAAAAAATAAAATTGAGTTTGCAAAAAAGTGAATTTAATTAGCAAAAGAGTGAATTTACTTTGGAAAAGGGTTAATTTAATTTACAAAAGAGTGAGTTGAATTTGTAAAAGAGTGAAATTGGTTTGCAAAAGATTGAATTTAATTTGTAAAAGGGTGGATTTAATTTGAAAAAATATGAATTTAATTTGCAAAAGGGTGAAATTGATTTACAAAACAGTGAATTTAGTTTGCTCAAGGGAGGAATTAATTTGCAAAAGAGTGAAATTGATTTTCAAAGGGGTGAATCTAATTTGAAAAAGAGTGAATTGTATTGAGTTGCAGATTGCAGAAAAAGCTTATACAACTGTCAATAACATAACTCGACTAAAAGAGAACAAATAATTCTCACAATACCTTACACAGCTTAAAATTTAAAGGTAGCGTCTTATGTATTTCTTCATTGCTTAATTGTTTTTTAGAAGGACGTGTGAGTAAAACAATTCCAAATCATTGGAAGTGATATTAATTGCAGCCATTGAGTTAAGTAAAACGGAAGATTTTTATGACCGCCATCCTTGAAAGAGCGACCGGGAATATCGTTCGAGGATCAAATCAATTTCCGGTTCTTTTGATGTTAAATACATCTCTTAAACAATGCCGTAATAAACTTTTCAATGCACTAAACATCATTTTCAACTAGGAAGGTTGAAACGATTTACATTCCTATAATGTACATAGCTTTACTAGCGCACCTTTTTTATCTACTTTAGGCTTGATTCAAAATTAATGCAACGCAATTTAAAAAAAAATCATCTATGAATAAAAGTTTAAATAATTTTTTTTTTAGAATTTTTAATTTACTAACCACTTGGTCATTTTAATGTTTTCTCTCTTTAACTCTCAGCTCTAATCGTCATGCGTTTTATTTTTATTTAAAACATTATTTCCCTTGTTTGAGTGTTTCCAGCAAAACATAAAAATAATTTTCCACGTGCGGACTTGAACTACAGGAAGGTGAAGGACTCAAGGAGGGATTATCTCAACTAATGACACAGACGTTGTCGTGACAGCTCACTGAAGACATTTACAATGTACAAGGAAGTTGTATTGTACAATTACATTCAATCACTACTACGTGCGACGTTGTTGAAGTCCCCCTCAAAACCCATTTTTACTCCGTTAGATTTATTATTAAAATTATCGACGATTCTCAAATTTAAATTTTAACAGTGTTTCATGCACCAGTGAAGAAATTATTGTTTTGTTGAGTTTGACTTTAATAAACGAATTATAACAATGGAAGAGGGTGATTCTAGCTCCATCTGATTTTATAAATACAAATATTACTATTTGTAATATGTACAAGTTAGGTTCATTTCCTTTTTTTATTTTTATTATTTTTTTTATTTTTCATTTTTTTAATCCTGGGTTGACGTAAAAATGTTGAGCTCATAAAAAGAATACACTCGCCAAAGTTCAGCCTAGCGATTATTAATTAGTTATTAACTTATTACTTTTGCCGATATATTTCGGGCTGTTCCACTAGTCCCTCTTCAGGGTTTTTAGGAACTAGAATCATACTTCATATTATACTCTACTGGGGGTATGAATCCAGCTCGTAAAAGTTCTGAAAAGGGGCGTGGAACAGATCGAAGTGCATAGGAAAAAGCAATAAATACATTTTAACTCCAACCCTGGATAAAATTTGGATTACAGATCATAAATGTAATTTTTCTGATTTTCCAAAACAATAACATTTATATACAATTCATTCTTCAGGATAAGGCATCAAAGCTAAGATTTATCGTCTAAAACAATTTAGGAAAAAAGAAGAAAAACTTTTCAAATTAAAAAATTTGAAATTTCGCCATTTCGACCCACCAGCAGCCAGAAATTTACTTTATACTCTTTAATGTTTCGTCCCATGATAATTTCACGTTATTTTAATTTCATTTGAAGGAAATTTTCCATTTCATAGAATACTACGGTCAGATACCGCCAGGGATATAAGCAGGGAGTGGCGGAACGCAGTTGTATCCAAGTTCTGCGATTTTCTCCCGCGCAAAACGCGAACGATGTGCGCCAGGGTTGACTTGTTATAATATAGCATAACTTTTTCCTGTTCAAATTTCCTTTCTAACTTTATTTATTGTTAACTTTAAGTTAGAGAAATATCCGTAGCATATGGAAAAAGAAAAGTGCTAAATATCTTCAAACACATTGAGACACTTAGACTAGACTCTAGAGTGATTTGGCGTGACCAAGATCATTTATTGCCGTTGTGCTTATATGATTTAACAAATCTCGCTTTGTCATTTGTGATTATTAATTAATTATTTATCAACCCAAAACAACTAACTTTTGGATTTTCGAGACGCATTTCAGCTTAGCTCTCTGACAAATTAGGAGGGTTTTGTGGATATTAAATTTTCTAGGACGACGGCTTATTGTGGCATTTAAGGGCCTAACTTTTTCCCAATTATCCGGTTTTTAGTACACAACTCCTGGGTTATAAATACAAATAATTCACCATTTTTTTATAGTCTTCATAACTCATCAATTTTTGATATTTCCTTAAAACTGTTGAAATAGATGCAGTCGTTTGTTTATCTATTGATAACAAACAACAAAGAATAATCACACTATTATCGTAAAATAAGAAACAAAAGGGAGATTAAAATAATTCGAAATAAAGAACAACGTTGGGAACTTCTTCGTGGAGGGGTTCTGCAAGGACCTGGGATTTCGGTCGTCAGCGTCTCTTCTCGGCCGGCAAACGTTTCTCGGTCTTCGATGAGTGATGTTGGAGTTGGCGCTCATAGTCATCGTCGTGCTGATCATAATCGTTGCTTTTGTACCCGTCGAGCATGCGGCTGGGTTCAGGACTGCAAAGCTCATGTCCAAGCTTCCAGGACTAAAGTCCGTTCCGGTCTTCGGCGAAGGGCTCAAAGTGGCGAAGCTTCAACCGTGGGGTATTTTGATTTATTTCTTTCCGCTCATTTTCGAACAAATTTCAGCTATTTTAACCATAAATTAATAATAATAATTTAATTTGCAAAAAAGTAAAATTGACTTGAAAAAGAGTGAATTTAATTTGAAAAAAGGGTGGAATTAATATGCAAAAGGACACAAGTGATTTGCAAAAGAGTGAATTTAAATTACAAAAGAGTGGAATTAATATGCAAAAGGACACAATTAATTGATTTGTAAAAGAATGAATTTAAATTGCAAAAGGATAGATTTATTGTGCAAAAGGGTGAAATTGATTTGCAAAAGGGTGAAACTAATTTGCAAAAATATGAATTTAATTTGTAAAAAGATGGATTTAGCGTGCAAAAGGATGAATTTAATTTGCAAAAGAGTGAATTTAAATAGCAAAAGGGTGAATTTATATATGCAAAAGAGTGGATTTAATGTGCAAAAGGATGGATTTAATTTGCAAAAGGGCAAAATTAATTTGCAAGAGTGATTTTAATTTGCAAAAGGGTGGAATTAATATGCAAAAGGACACAATTGATTTGTAAAAGAATGAATTTAAATTGCAAAAGGGTAGATTTATTGTGCAAAAGGGTGAAATTGATTTGCAAAAGGGTGGATTTAATGTGCAAAAGGATGAATTTAATTTTCAAAAGGGAAAAATTTATTTGCAAAAAAGTGAATTTAATTTGCAAAATGGTAAAATTGATTTTAAAAAAGAGTGAATTTAATTTGCAAAAGAGTGACATTGATTTGCAAAAGATTGAATTTCACTTGTAAAAGGGTTGGTTTAATTTTCAAAAGGTGGAAAAATCTGGAAAAAATAACTGAAAGGGAACATATTCTCGGAGTTTGTCATTCATACGAATTTTACGTTTAGCTTCTAAACTTTCATAGATATTGTAATGAGATGTATCATTTAATGTGATTATTTTAAACTATTTATGGAAATCTCCTTCCCTTACGTACTATTCTAGACGTTTCGATTTAAAAAATTCCATTTTTATTTACCAAACACGTGGCCCCTTGGGGCAATAGCCCCATTGATATAATCGGAATCATTGAGAGTTATTTTGCTCATAATGTACTTTTGGATACACTGTCTTTGTAGTATATCCAGACAGCTTGATCTTGATTACCAGTTGCCTTAATTTCTAAACCAGCAATTATGTGCCTTACTCCACTTAGTACAACAAATAGTTGACCGTTAGTAAAAATGGGTTTTGTCCAAAAAATGTAGGAATGTCTATCCCTGAACTGTATTTTTGGTCATAGGGTCATATCGAAAGCAACCTTTAGGGGAATTGTAAAGGGCACTTTTTGTAAAGGGTGGTTCTACTTACAGATTAGTTGTTAGCAACGATTTCGAGCCCATCGTCAGGTTGAAGAAATTACATACACCTCTCTCGGCGTGAATTGAGAGTGATTTGTAAATATGCCGCTAAAAAACCTACCATTGCTTGCCACACTTCTGTTAGGTCAGATTTTTTTCTTCTTCTTTGCTTATCCATGATATTCAACAATAATCTAGTTCTAATCATTAATTATTATTATTATTAATCCATATATGTATTTAGTAGTCATAATTGAAATTAATTATGCTTTCTATCTACTTTCTTGATTGAAATGAAAAAGCCAATGTCGTAAGCAGGATCCAAACCGACAAACCCAAACCCCATTGAGTGGGTTTTTGTCATGATAACTCATGTAGTTAGAGCAGAAGCGTATTATCCAAGGGTTGTGCTGACACTTGCTTTTTCATATCAACCAAGACCTTAGATAAAAAGCGTAATTAATTTAAATGATTATATTAATGAATACTTTGGATTCTTAATAATTTCAATTCACTAATAATTTTAACATTCTGTTATTTATTTGGAAAAAATGTGAAATTAGCAGTTTTTGTTTGAAGAAAAAAGCTTGAAATTCAACCTTGTCCAACTACTGGTGAAAGTGAATCCAGCACCCATTCCAAATTTACATAAAGCTTATTTGTATTTAAAACAAAAAATCTCTTCCATGTATTTATTATAGTTTGAAAGTGCAGATTTTGTTTAAAATAATTTTCAGAATTTTCAACTGATACGGTTTCTATCTTCACTGCTGAGTTATTTGCCTTGATTAGAGCCCTTGATTATCTGACGACTCTAGATGACAACAAATTCTGCATTATAACAGACAGCAAAAGTGTCATCGCCCAAATAGAAAACTTCCACCCAAACTCCAAATGCGATTATTTAATAACGGAAGTAATAGACAAGGCGTTTAACTTCAAATCGCAAAATAAAACTGTAGTCTTTTGCTGGAGTAGGGGGCATTGTGGTATAAAGAGCAACGAAATCGTGGACTTGTTAGCTAAACGCGCAACAAAGGACGGGGATTTTATTGACATCAAATTGCCAAAGTCTGACACCAAACGTTCCCTGATTAATAAATGGGTAAAAGCCTGGAGCATTTGGTACAACAGTGGTTCGGCGGGGTCATTTTATCGATCATTGTTTCCGGAAATAAATATCGCTCCATGGTTTTCGACAGAGTACGGAAGCAAAAAATTNCGGCTAGATACGCCGCTGCTCTACCACTTGAGCTATCGTGACCTCGATCCACTCGGACACTAACTTCCCATCTCAACCCCACCTTTTTGAATTTTGCCTCCTTTTTGCCATTTTCCAATGAGGTCAGTTGAGATGGGAAGTTAGTGTCCGAGTGGATCGAGGTCACAATAGCTCAAGTGGTAGAGCAGCGGAGTAGCTAGCTGAAGATCGTGGGTTTGAATCCCGCTCGTGCCATTGACTTTTTTATCTCAACTAAAAAGCTTAATTGTAATATATTAATTGGTCAAGCGGACCACAAAATTAGTGAATTTAATTATAATAATTGTTAAAAAATATTCAGGAAGGCTTAACGTCCAATTATCTATTGGGCATCACAGATGGTGGTAAACCCACTTTACAATAAATAGTTTTCCATCTTATTTTCAATTAAAAAGCACCATGCTGGAAATCAAACCCAGAACCACTAGCATGGTAAATAAAAGTCGGTTGCCCTAACCACTCGTCCCAAATTATATGAATAATTACAAATCCAAAATTGCAACCACTACAAAGTATAGTAAATTCACAAGATTAATTTATGTAACACTTCTAAAAATTGACATATTTTTATTTGACAGTTTTGAAAATAAGTATGTAAACATCTTATTTAACAGTAAACGTCTTATTTTAGGTTAATTTTATCACTTAGTGTTATGCATTAAGTTCAATTTTTATTTATTCATAACAATAATTACTGGTTTTGTATTTAGAGTAAAAATGTCTTAAAACGTTTATAATGTTTTTAAAATGTGTACTTCATTGTCTATGTCAATTTTTTCAATATTTGTCCTATGTATATAATCTTTTAGATTTATTATTCCCCAGTATTTAGTCATCTTTCTTTCTTTAATGTTGCTCATTTTAGTAACAATTTGCATGCATTGATTTTACAATTGTAAGAAACCTTTTTGGAGGAACTTATGGCACCAATGATCATGTTAGGGCACCAAAGATTTAAAATACAGAATTTTTTTCATTTTAGAACTTATTGGCTTTCTGACTACTATTTTTGAAGAGCAACCAAGGCTTTGTAAATTCTGGATTGCTTGCTTACCTTTTGTGATGATCAAACAACCCGAAGACCTGGAGGTATGATTCACAAAAATCATTTGATCATTAAAAATGTTGTAATGGTTAAAATTAATTTTTAACTAGGTAATAATGGGAAGTGTTCACCATATTGAAAAAGGCCTAGAATACAATCCACTCTTGCCTTGGCTCAATGAAGGTCTGCTTGTCAGCTCTGGTAAGTTTTGCCAATTCATTTGTCTAATAATTACAAAACATTTAAGTGTAATATAAATTCATGAACATTACCATGAGGGGTGTCGGTGGCCACAACAGCACTCATCACTGTAAGGTAAAGGTCCCGGGTTCAAATCCAGCGGCCGTGCATTCGAACCCGACATACTTACAAATGGGCTTTTTTTTTTAAAACACCGGCACCCTGAGGGTTGATATAACCTCTGCTGATGCAAACCCATGTATGTTACCGTTATACCATGTATTAAGTTGCTTATTTTAGTGCTACTATAGAAAACCAGTGCTATTTTCTTATTTCAATTAATTTTAACGAAATTTTCAGTAAATTTATGACATTGCAGATCAAATGCTGACAGAAACATTCAGCTCAAAAATATAAAAAATATAACCAGGATGATCAGCAATGATATATGATATTTGCTTAAATTGATGTGGGTTTCTTCTTGATGGAATATCAAACAACCTGGTTTTCTTTTTGTGCGTACATTTGAGGACAACCTTACAACCTGTCCCCTCTTCAGCACATTTGACAACTATAAGTATATTAAAAATTGTTAGATTGCTATTAAAATTGTTAATTACATGCAGACCATTGACCTTACCTCTCATATATCTGCATAATTAACAATTTTAATCACAATCTTAAGATTTGTAATATACTTACATATAATTGTCAAATGTGCTGAAGAGGGGACTGGTTGACCCAAAATATATACACAAATAGAAAAACCAGGTTGGTGATATTCCACCAAAAGGAAACCCACGTCAGTTACAAGTGCCACAACCATAGGAAAAAGACAAAAATACACCTATTTAAATTGATTTATAATTTTTATGTAAAGTGTGGTAGAGGTGAAACATAATTGTCACAAGATGATGAGTTGGTGTCATGATAGCCCAAGTCATGTGTTCAAGATCTGCTGGTGGCACGGTTTTTTCATCTCAACCACACTTTACACAAAAATTAAAAAATCAACTTAAATAATCACTTTGGTTAACTAGGACCAACTAAAAACATGTAGATATGATTTTTTTTTATGTACGCTAATTTTTTTTTTATAGGAAAGAAGTGGCATGCCAGACGAAAAATACTTACACCAACGTTTCATTTCAGAATCCTCCAAGATAATTTAAATTCGATAAACTACCATGCAAGGTAACAAGAATGAAATGTTAAACAAATTGTGATTTTAATGAATTTGATTGTTTCCAGAACGTTGTTGAAAAAAATGCTTAAGCAAGGTAAAAAGGCGTTGAAAATAGAGGATTTCATCACATTATGCACTTTAGATGTAATATGTGGTAAGAAAATTTTGTTTAAAAACTTCTTACTTTGTTTGATTGCTTTATTTTTATTTTTTTTGCTTTTGAGATACTGCCATGGGAATCCAACTGAATTCACAAGAAAACGAAGGCAAGGAATATGTTGAATCAATCAAAAGGTAGCCTTTATAAACAAAACAAAACAAAAACAAAATTGATATACCTATTATAACCATTCTATATAATTTGTTAAGTGTTGCATCACTAGCTGTTGCCCGAGCACTGAAATTCTGGCTGTATAGACCGTTTATTTTCAATCTTTCTTCCATGGGCAGGGAATTCAAGAAACAACTGAAAATACTGCATGAATTCACAGAAAATGTAATTTAAATTATGTAAATTATTGTTAATTTCATTGAGTTAAAGCTAATATTTTATAATCATTGTTCTTAAGATTATCCGTGAAAGAAAACAGCAATATGCAACAAGAAATGTATCATTTGAAGAAGAGGATGACATGTTTGGCAAGAAGAGAAAAGCATTTTTAGATAGCATGATTGAAACGGATATAAAATATCCTAATTCATTCACAATAAAAGATATAAGAGAAGAAGTTGACACTTTTATGTTTGAAGTAAGTTATTTATAAATATTTGTTGAAATTATGAGTATACAATTTGTTTCTGCAGGGACACGATACCACTTCTGCTGCCATTATGTTTGGAATGTATTTATTAGGCCACCATGAAGACATCCAGGTAAATAAGCTTCTACTTTTATACCCATTAACATATTAACTTTATAATTTTAGGAAAAAGTGTTCCAAGAGCAATATTCTATTTTTGGTAATAGTGAGAGAGAAGTTACGAAAAGAGATTTGCAAGATATGACTTATCTTGATAAAGTTATTAAAGAAGTTTTACGGCTTTATCCCAGTGTCCCGTATTTTTCTAGAATGATGACTACTGATGCTAAATTAAGTAAGCATGCATTCATACATGTTGTTTAAAATATAAAACAGCTATTTAAATTGTTCAGATGAAGACATGGTAATACCGAAAGGCACTAATGTCTTGTTGTGCCCCTACATGGTACACCGAAATGAAAAATATTTTCCAAACCCTGAGGTTTTTGATCCTGAACGATTCGCTCCTGAAGAATGTGCTAAGAGGCACCCTTACGCTTATATTCCGTTCAGTGCTGGACCTCGTAACTGCATTGGTATTTGCTATATTAAAATTAATCATTAATGAAAGCGTACTTATGAAAAATTCATTATTTAGGCCAGAAATTTGCGTCTATGGAACTAAAAATCATCTTCTCTACTTTAATAAGGTTCACCCATTTGGAAACATTAACAAAGCCAGAAGAAATACAAATCGTTCCATTGCTTATATTGAGGACAAAGGATCCTATTTTAGTTAAAGTTACTCTTAGGCCTTTTGCAGAACAGTTCTTTGGTTGAACAAGCGAATGTATTAAATGTTTGTTATGTTAATTCAAATAATGCACAAAATATTTAATGTTAAGACAAATGTTTTAATTTTTTTATCTTTCAGTTAGTACAAAACGTATCAAAGGACATTTATTTATTATTATTTATAATTAATGATATTAATAGACTATAATAAACGATTTCTCATATTTTATATTATACTGTGTTCCTAAAAGATCTTCACCTTCAAACTTTTTTTAAAATCAGAAATTAAAGTTTGCATTATTATAGGATAAAAGATCCCGAAACGCCACATAATAAGAATTGTATTTACAATTAAGCTACCTGTATCTTGTGAAATTTTGGTCTACAATAAAAAACAATAAAGTTCAACCGGCAATGGCTCATTCATTGGGTACATCTATACTTAGGGGTTTTTTGTGTTAATAAAATGTTTTTTGGCTTTTGTGCCATCTTCAGTGAGGAACTGTTTAATAAATGTGTTGGATCAGCATGTGTTCACCGACTCAAGACCAACACCCACCATCAACTTTAGCACAGTAAAGGTAAGTAATGTGTAGTGTTATCACATCTAAAATTGTCTTATATCTGCAAAAGTTGTGTCCTGGGAACTCATATACTTTGTCTACATTGAAGTGACACATCACTCAATTCTTATAAACTTGCACTTGAATGGTATCGATGTATGCCCTTAAGTCCCTGGCACTGTACATTACTTACATTGAACTGATTACTCTTAATTAATCAAATTACCAAAATCTGATGTAAAGAGGGTATAAACTAAAAAAATTGGCATAGGAATGGAAAAGGTGATAAGGCAGGTTCTTTTTTTTAAGACTCATTCGCAAACACTGACACATTTCCTGGATTTCTGCAATGAGGGAAAGCAAGGCATTTTTCTCTGGTTGAATGAGGTCCAATCACTAAATATGTGAAGCTAATCAGAATAGAATTTGTTTAAGACCCTCCCCGAATTGTGAAACATTTAATAAACCCAAGACAATGCAGCATATCATGTTTGATTTTCCAGAGTATGAAGTTGCAAGAAATTCCATTTTGGAAGTTCTTCAGTTGCAAAGAGGTACAGAAGAAAGAAGAAGGTTTGGAAAATGAAATGTTTTTTTAGAATACTGTTTGAATTTTTAAAAGAAAACAAACTGAAGCCTTAAGCACCAAATTATTGCTATTAAGATGTGAAGAACCTGGGACGTTCTGTGGGTGCTATGTTGGCTGGCTTACATGGTCTCCGGAGGAATGCTCTACATGCAAAGGGCAAATGGCCTTAGGAAATGGGGAGGATGTGGACTTTTCCAGGGGCAACTGCTGCCATGTAAGGTTTTTATCCAAATCCTCCTAATGCTACCGAAATTAGGTGTACACCCAAAAGAGAATGAGCGTATGGGGTGGTGCTTTTTGGGGGTGCCCAGATCAGTCGGCGTGGGTCCTTGGGGTGGCAAGGGTTCTCACCAACAAAATGATATAGAATGAATGAATGCCTGTAAGTTTACTCATTAAGCTTAAGAATCATTCATTTTTATTTATGTGGGAAAATGCCTCCCTAAAGATATATACAAGGCATTTTACGAAAAACTTAAATTATACTTTTGTACCTACAGTCTTTACAATTTATTATAAATTAAAGAAAGAAAAAAAAGAAAATTAGCTGCAAAAGTTAATTGCACAATTGAGAAAGACAAGATGAAAAATTGTAGATTGGGTTCCTTTCATGCAACTTAGCAAATAGTTGTTTTTATTTCAAATCTTGACCTAAGGGATCCTAATAACCCTATGTAAGTCCTTATTCCTTCATACCAAGGTGCATTAACCATGTTATGTAAGATTTTATTTTGGAGTGTTTGTATAATTTTAATATTGCTGTTTTGAGTACAACCCCATAGTTGAATACCAGTCCACTAGGCTTTAGGACTTGTTTGTATGTACAGTAAGGTTTGAGCCATGTCCTTTTAACTAGAGTAGTTTTCTATCTATACCTTAAACCTATTTCTGCCCTTTTTTTCTTCATGTGCTCTTTCCATCTCAATTTGGCATCTAAGGTCATTCCCAGATATTTAGCTGTATCGATTGTATGGTATAGTTCTATCAATTGTGAGAGACAGAACATGGTCCACTTTTTTGTTTGTAAAGTTTATATGACGTGACTAGCTTTTAACCACGACTTCGACCACATGAGACTGTTTCAATGTGCATTTCTAGTTCAATGCAGAGTGCTATATATATAATGTCCTAATATAATGTCCCAAATTCTTCTCTTCTTCAGTTCACTTTAGTCTATACATGGTAAAAAATTATCCATCCCTTCAGGATGGAATTTCAAAAAATCCATTCTTAGTGGCTATCCATATCATTATAGGAATGGACTGTCAAAATTTCAGTCCTTTACATCCAGCGGTTCAGTCTGTGCATTGTCTGTCAGACAGGAAGTGTTTTGTATATATAGAAGATAGGGATGGAATTTCAAAAAATCCATTCTTGGCAGCTATCCATGTCATTATAGAAATGCACTGTCGAAATTTCAGCCCTTTAGATCCAGGAGTTGGTTTATGCATTGTCTGTCAGTCACGGAACTGTTTTATGTATATAGATTTATGCTGATTGAGCTTGATTCTATATTATTTTGTCCATTTGTTTATCTTATTACAAATCTTTTGAAAGATTTTATATATAATAAACAAACTACAAATCTTATATTCTAATAAGCAATGATAGAATTAAAAGTTCCATTTATTATTTACAAATAATAAAAACCTATTATTTTTAATAGGTTTCAGCAGATGGCTCCTAGCTAGGCTTATTATACTTTGTACCAATTTTTGTATTTTTCTATTTTAGTAAAGTATTACTATAAAAAAAAGTATATAGTAAGTGTGGTATTTAGTGACCATTAATTAATGATTAAAAACATTTTCTTTATCGTGCCAATGTTTTGATCTTCAGGGCCCATATCCATGCCTATATCTCAATAAAGATCGAAACATTGGCATGATTAAGAAAATGTTCTAAATCTCCGTCTCACCAGACCGCATCTCATTTTCTCCAAATAATCATTATCATTATTATTATTTTTAATAGGCATAAATCTTGTTTGGAAATTACAGTGTTATGATGGAGAAAATGTATTGTACATAATTACATCAATTCATCATCAAATTGCTATATTAAATGTTGTCTGGGAAAGTTTTGGGTGACCTAAGTAAACTTTTTGAATAATTATTTTCTCTACTAAAACACAGTAAAGTAACTGTTTATGCTGAGGCATAATCTATTTTATTTTCTTATTAAAAATTAGTAAATAAAAAATACAATTCAGTTTTCTTTATTTTAAGCCTCCGACCTGTGATTGGCCTGCTGAATGATCAGAGGCTTAGTTGGAGGACGGTGTTAGGCTTCTTCAAACCATCTGTTGAATGGTACACACTTGTTTTTCTCTCTGGCCGGGCGCCTTGTTGTTCTCAATATCACAAAATTAGTTAACGTATTTCCCCTTTCAACAAAGTATTCTCCTCTTTATTGCAACACGAGAAAATTATCTTCCAAAATGTGCTGTTCATGTTTCACAGCCAAGGTGTTACTGCATTTCCTGATCATTCCCGGAGGAAAACTCTAAGGCCTTGGAGCTGACTGACGGGAATTATCCTGCAGGAGAAAACTGAGTGTATGAAACATTGCTACTCTCAGCAAGTGATTTTCTAATTTTTCTATCTATACCTTAAACCTAGTTGTTAATTACTTAAGAATTTCATTTGTTTAATTCCGTTTTATTTTATTTTAATTACAATAAGCCTATGGCTTAATCAGTGACCAATCTTTTTTTGGGATGTGAATTTTAAAAATTAGAGGGAAATCTCTTCCCAAGGCGTAAACTCGACCCCTACCGGCGATTCCCTCTTTTCATATCAACGAAATTGAAAACCTGTTTTCAAAAAACCTCTGGTGACGGTCATCAAATAGATAGTTCGGTAGTTTTCCAATTCCGTGACATAAAACAGTTGGAAACGTCCAAAAGTTCGATTTTCCTCCGTGGATATCTCATGTTGGAGCTGTTGATGGTGTAGAAGAGGCGTTATCGACAAGGATTAAAACAACAAAACACGTAAGCTTCTCCCCACGTCCGTTATCGCATCCAAACGCCCATTTAATAACCAGACGACCTCTGCCCAGGCTGAGAATGCAGCATTCCCAGGACAAACAGCAGGAAATGCAGCTGTCCGCCATGCTCGCCAAGGTGAAGGAGCAGGCTTTGGACATGAAGTTGAATCTGGACGACGGCAAGCTGATGGACGCCCTTAAACAGGCGACGGTCATGCTCTCGGAACTCAGGACATCCAACCTAAGCCCAAAAAACTACTATGAATTGTGTATCCTTATCAAACAAAAAACCATAATAAATTTATATTCTATTTGTAGGAAAGAAAACAGGATGGTTGCCCTTCTATTGCTAGTCTTAAAACTGTTACTGACAACTAAAGTAAATAGTCAAGTAATTCCTGTCGTACAGGAGAGATCGTCCAACTACCAGTTGGGTACGGCATAGGGGTCAGAACCACTTAACAATACTTTAAAAAAATTAATTTTATTTGGTTGTCCGGAAAATAATGTGGGTTTTCTTTCAGTTTACCCCTCTTCTACAATAAACTGTTTACGTTGGATGGATTATTCTTCTGTACAAAATGTTTACCTCGTTAGCATTCATTCTCAACCCTTAACCGACAAACCCCCTCCTGGTTCTGGGGTAAATGGCTTGGCCTTCTGCCACCTTAAAACATAAACACAATAAATTGTTGTTTACTTTTATAGAGTGTGTAATATTTAGTGTACGTTAACTAAAATGATTATTTAAAGGTCATGATATGCGGTCTGGTGTGATGTAGGTTAGAAAAACATTTTTTTTATCGTGCCAACATTTTGATTTTTAGAGATCGTTTTCAGGGCTCAAAGTGTGTGTTTTCTGTGCAGTTGTGTCACACGACATACAACCGTGTCCTTCACATAGCCCAAGCCCTGGCTGTCGTGCTCTACCATCTTCGATGGTCTACAGTGGTTTAGGCCCACCAGAAAAGATTAGCCTATAGATAGCCTAATAGAATAGCCCACCTTGATTGAATACAAGGTAGTGTTTGGCTGCGATGTACGACAGCTAGATTTGATTGTTTTATTGATGTCATTGAACGGTTACCTCGGTAGTAGTCAACTCCAAATGTTACATAATGTAAGGGTGTGCTCTAAAGCAGTATTCAAAAGGCTTTGTGAGAATAGCTTAGTCTCTAGACGTCCCTTGACAGATTCTCTATTGCTGGAGAAGTGTCAAGAAGAAATACGATTAATTAGCATCTTGCTTGGACACTTGATCAGGGGGGGGGCTGTTTTTTCATAGATGAGTGCCAGTTTGGTTTGTGACAATCAGATGACTGGGTTCGTATGTGGAGAAGGCTTTGCTTCATTTGCCATGTGTGTGAATCACAGTCTTTTCAAATGCATTCAGTTATGGTGTGGGTTAAAATAAACATCGATGATCATACTGAACTGATTACCAGAATGGATTTTTGACTGCACTAAGGTACATTGAGTTTTTTCTGTAAGCTGTGGTCCAATTAACTCCATTTATTGGAGACAACTTTGTGTTAATGCATCATAATGCTCAACCGTATGTAGCTCAAGTTGTCACCTATTACTTGCAGGATGTAGGGATTACCACAATGAATTGATCAGCATGTTGTCTTGACATGAATCCCATAGAATACTTATGATGACATGATAAAAAGACAGGTTAGACAGCATTCGCCTCCTCCAACAAGCGTTGAAAGCTTCAAGCCACTTTTGTTGAAGGAATGGGATTCTGATTTACAAGGCGAAATCCGATTGCTTACTTATTTGATGCCTAGGAGAATTAACGCCCTCCACCAGACCAGAGGAGATAATACGCATTATTAAGAATAAAACTAGGAAATACAAATAAGTTTTTTGTTCTTTGAGATTATAACGAAAGTTATAAAATAAAAATTGATAAGCGACAATATTGCCGTAGTTGGGAAGCATTCTCATTGGACTTATTCACATATAATCATAGGCAGGAAAGAAAACAAAAGTATAGTTCGTTAGTAGTCGGAAACTATTTTTATTTACATTACTTACATTTGAAAAGTTGGGAAAGCATTCACATTACACTTTTCAATAACAGGCATAGAAAAGGCTGGTTGCGATAAGAGAAGATAAGTATATATATGGCATACTGTTGGGAAGTATTCATATAGCACTTATTCACTAAAACTCAAAAATAGTCGCATTGTAGAAAAACATTTGTTGCTAGAGTAAGTAAAGGCTAGTTCACACTCTTAGACAAAATGCACAACTCGTGTCTATAGACAAAGTTCTGCAATTGGCTGTAGACAAATCGGTAACAAACTACTTGTAGACAAAAACCACAAGTCTATGGTCTCCAAGCTTGGATGGGAAACTTGAGACATATTGCTCAACATTTTGTTGTATGGAAGGTGGAATGGTTGCTCTAAATCTTGTTTCCTGCTTGCACATTTTATTTCCAACCATAAGTAGGAAATTTTCAAAATCTGTGGTGGTTAGCCGGGAGATGATTTCCAGATTAGTCAGATTCAAGATTATTCCAGAAGAGTCAATCCAAATGAAGGACCGTTTGCTAAATGTTCCTTCTCCAACAATGTTTAAGGTTAATTTTCCTTTTTTGATCAAAAATTAAAACTGCACAAGCAGCAAAGCTGCAGGCTGTTATCTCACTCAAGTTATCATGGAAACTAATTTAACTGAGCTGTGCAGGTGTTGGCGCATGACAAAGGTTCTAGATCTCTACAATTTGTTCCGCAACAGTCTACAGACAAAACACAGTCACACGATTTTGTCTATGAGTGTGTACTAGCCTTAAAAGTTGCTATAGTCACTTGTAGATATGTTGCTAAGCAACACTATTGCCGTGGTTGGGAAGCAGTCACATTGCACCACTAAGTCGTAGGTAGGAAAGAAAACAACTGTTAGTAAATTGTTATTTACAACTAGTGTATATTTGAAAGTCAGATAGTTAAAACTGTTGCAGATAAATTCCTAAGTGACAATATTACATTTGGTTGGGAAGTTTTCACATTGCATTTATTTTCTAATAGTTATAGGTAGGATAGAAAACATGAATTTTGTTCAACTGTTAGAAACTTTTATTTACAACAAGTGATTATGCTGTATCGGATACATGCAATGAAAGAAGATAAAATTCTCAACAGTCAACTTGCAAAGTTGCTTCTAAGACAATATTGCATATGATTGGTTAGCATTTAAATAGTACTTATTTGCAAATAGTCATAGAGAATTAATGCAGACGCTACATCAGGTACATATAATAAAGGTAATAAATGTATGAGTCATGTGCAAAGAAGTTGCTAAGGGAAAAGTTTGTTTACAGTTGAGAGGCATACATATTGCACTTATTCATTAACAGTCTAAAGGCTGCTTTGCTAGAAAGAAATATATATGTAATTAAACAGTCAGCAATTAAAACCTTTTGTTAGTTAAAATTATGGTTTATACTGGAGATCAGGGTGGCTGAGTGGTTAGGACATCCGACTCGTATTTCCTCGTATTCTCGTATTATTGTGGTTATGGGTTTAATCCGAGCATAGCCCCTGGAATTTTGATAATATTTCAATGGTTACATCTAATTAGTTTTTTCAGTATCAAGTCGATTAAACAAGGTAAAAGTACCGAAAGTGAAGAAGTACCACAGTGACAATGTTGCAGGGTTGGGAAGAATTCACATTGTACTGATTCATATAGAATAGTGTCCAGGTGCGTTGTAGGATAGTAAATTTTAATTTTGTTAAATTGTTAGTACATTGAGATACTTTACAACGGTAAGCCGGCGACCAAGAGATTTGTCATGCATAAGTAGGCGGTATCTCTCTGATGGGAGTACTTCAGTAGCAGTGACTCAAGTCACTGTCGTATGGGTACTAGGCGACCTGACTTGTTAGTCTCCAAGTCTTCCAGTCTCTCAGTTGCTTTCATATCACTGGCGTGTGGTATAAATGAATAAGAGTTCATTTTAAAATTTGAGGCAGTCCTTTTGCATCAACGAATAACATACAATTTACATATATTCTTTTCAATGTAAAGATATACCCACAACTTTCTTACTTTTCTCGATCTGTAGTTGTAATAATAATAAGCATTATATATTATCATCACTACTAGAATCACTAGACATTGTATATAGGAAAGAGGACACAAGGAAGCGCACTTTACCAACAGGCAATATAAAACTGATTGATTTTTCTATTCGTTTCAAACTGCAAGCATCTTGGTAACACAGGCTACTTGAGTTGTCCAAACAACCAGTGATATAGCTGGTGATGAGATGATATACCCACAACTTTCATACTTTTCTCGATCTATGACGGCGGTAATAATAATACTGCATTATGATAATGTGACTAGGTTTTAGAAAAACATTTTCTTTATCGTGCCAATGTTTCGATCTTTATTGAGATCATCTTCAGGGCTGATCTGATGTTTGTTTTCTGTGTAGATGTGTCATTATTGTGGGTCGTGTTGAGAGTGCCTTTATTTAGTTGAAATCTGTACATAGAATCCCATGTTCTTCGTTCTTATCGTGTAGAAATGTGTGGTGTTTAGCGACCGTTAGTTAATGATACTTTTGGAGATTGTGAGATGCGGTCTGGTGTGACGTAGGTTTAAAAAAAAATTCTTGATCGTGTCAATGTTTTGACCTTTATTGAGGTCATCTTCAGGGCTCAGAGTTTGTTTTATGTGTAGATGTGTCGAGAGTACTGGAGATGAGATGACATATTTCCATGTGAATAGGGCCATGCGTAACATCATGTTTGCAGTACCTCACATGGGAAAGAAGACCAAGATATAACGCTTTCAGTACCCATGTAGATGTAGGGACGAGTGCAATATCATGCTTTCAGTACCTGTGTAGAGGTAGGAATAAGCGCTCTTAGTGATTGTATGAAGGTATGGGCTATTTGAGTTGTCTACTCGCCCAGTCTTTTTTGAAAATTTATTTATTACTAGTATTTACTGTACATATCAAGTTAATATGAAAGTTAGAAGATAACAATAGTATTTGTCAAGTAAAAATATTGTATCCAGTTGGGAAGCATTCAATTGCACTTATTCACTAACTGACATAGAATAGGCCAGTTTAGGAGTCATATAATATTATTATGCATGGTAATTGAATGACTTTTGGATTTGAGGATTAGATCAGGGGTACAGATTGAAAATGAGATGTAAAATTTGTTGTACATTGTATTATTAAATATATAAAATGGACAGTTGAGGATCTTGTATACGTTTGATTAATTCCATGAGG